CGGCGTTGGTTGGGCTTTCCTCCGACATAGGTCTTTTTTGACCTATTATTTGCCGTAGTGATACGGGGGAGGAATCTTCAACTCGCAGAGCGAGTTTAAGGTCTTGGCCAAAGGAGAGGGCTTTCTTTGGCATCTCAGCAGTAGTGTTGACCTCCGTAGAGGTCCTGTGGGTATCACGCCTAGCTTTTGGGCTAAGGGACCCAGAGGAGAGGACCTCCTCATACTTGGCTTGGTCGAACTCTACGACGAGAGTTTCGACGGTGGTTCCAGTAAGGTGAACGTCGGATTGCGCCACCACTTCCTCGTCAGAGAAGCTAGTCCCCAGCAGAGTCGCCATCTTTTGTTTGTTGGAAATTTGATGTAAAAAGACAAAGAAAGAAAATTTGACTTGTATTCTCTCAAAATCGATTACAATTTGGATTCCGATTACAAAAGAGAAGAGAATGGATTTGATTCTCTCCTTTGTTTAAGACTGGGTTCTTCTTGGTAGCGATGGAGTGCTTCCTTCGATTGATCGCGTCGAACTTGCTCTCCGTTGACGATCCGACCGTCCTTCTTCACTGGAACAATTGAAGTGCTTGATGACTTCGGTTTAGAACTCTTAACGAGTGTAAAGAACTCTGAACGAGTTAAGAACTCTGATAAGAGTTGTTGAAAACCGAATGTCTGGTTTGATGTGATTAACTTGCGTTGCAAGCTAATTAAGAACTCTTAACGAGTTTAAGAACTCAGAATGAGTTAAAACTCTGTAACAGAGTTGTTGGAACCGAAAATTCGGTTAATTGCCAAGTGGATGATACCTTTGATGAAAGGATCCTTCGGGATTTGATTAACTGATCGTTGATCAGTTCCTTGATCTCCCGAAGATCTCTTCCTTCCGATTACTCAACTGCCGAGATTTGTTGACCTTGGGTGGTTTTGATACCAGCTCCCCTCAACTCTTTGCGGTTTTGATCTCAGAAACCGATTGATCAACCTATCAACCCCCCAACCCCTTACTCAGTTGAGTAAGTTGGTTATTTATAGGGTGATGTGGAGTGTAACCAACCCCTATTTCCGCTCCTTTGTGGGCGAGAATCCCTCAGAACGTGGGATAACGGTTTTGAGGCCGTTCGACTTGCGTTTGAACAAGTCAAAACGCCTCAGTTGGCGTTATGGGCTTTAACTCTGCGTCCAAGGCTTGAGACGCAGAGTTAAATCTCTGTTAGAGATTTGAGACGCACAGGCCGTGTGCGTTGAAGCTCAACTCTGCGTCCAGAGTTTGGGGCACATAGTTGAGTCTATTAAAGAACGCACGTTATGTGTGCGTCTTGTACTTTAACTCTGCGTTACAGAGTTCGATGTCTGCTGAGGAACCGTTATGTGTGCGTCTTGTACTTTAACTCTGCGTTACAGAGTTCGATGTCTGCTGAGGAACACACAAGTGTGCGTTTTGAACTTAGGAAACGCAGGAATGACTTTCTGCGTTTGAGAGAGGTTGTTGACTTGTAACCTCATCCATTATAACATTGCGAAGGCTATTGTTTATTGATCCTTGCTTGTTATAGGATATGAGAGTCGTCAAATTGTAACTCTCACTGTTGGTTGCGAAGGCTACAGAATAGAGCTTTCATCAGTTGTCGGAAGCGTCGTCGAATTGTAACTCTTCTCGATCTACGTGAAAGGTCCTCTATTTACCGCTTTCGATTGTCGACCCGAAAGCTATTTGATTGTAGCTTTCGTTGTTGGAGTTAGACGGGAATCAACATCCATAGTGTTTCATTGCGAAGGCTATTGTTTATTGATCCTTGCCTGTTATAGGATATGAGAGTCGTCAAATTGTAACTCTCACTGTTGGTTGCGAAGGCTACAGAATAGAGCTTTCATCAGTTGTCGGAAGCGTCGTCGAATTGTAACTCTTCTCGATCTACGTGAAAGGTCCTCTATTTACCGCTTTCGATTGTCGACCCGAAAGCTATTTGATTGTAGCTTTCGTTGTTGGAGTTAAACGGGAATCAACATCCATAGTGTTTTAAAGATGAATATTTACCCATAGCTCTCTACCAAGCAACTTACCAACTAAGTCCAACCTTTGATTTCTAAAATCATTACACTGCTCATCAGCATCATATTAGTCATGCTGATTACACTGCTCATCAGCATCATATTAGTCATGCTGTTGTCGCAGCCATCAAGATCAGTCATCTCAGAGATGAGGCCGTGTCTATAGCGGTTGCAGAATTGCGGATGCAAAGATCAGAAAGTCGTCTGATTGTAACTTTCATTATCAGGGCTTGATAGGGATCGACTATCCATTGTGATTTACTTTCATTATCAGGGCTTGATAGGGATCGACTATCCATTGTGATTTTTAGACAGCCTACAAAGGGTATGGATGGAGACTTCTATATATCCTCTTCAAAAAATCTTGACAGGAAGAGTCTCTCTAAATCCGTCCACTTTTAAATATATCTGGTAGATAGTTTTCTGAACTGTAGGCTGTCTAAAAATCACAATAGATAGCTTATCCCCCATCAAACACCGATGATGGAAGTTACAATCTGACGACTTCCAGAAGGCTATAATTTGAAGACTTTCATATAGATCGCTGAAGGTTATAATCTGACGACCTTCACGACAACCGATGAGAGCTTTAGTTCAACAGCATTCACAATCAAACATCGGGAGTTACAATCTGACGACTTCCAGAAGGCTATAATTTGAAGACTTTCATATAGATCGCTGAAGGTTACAATCTGACGACCTTCACGATAACCGATGAGAGCTTTAGTTCAACAGCATTCACAATCAAACATCGAGAGTTACAATCTGACGACTCTCATATTCTCAAGGAGCCAAGACGAAGATTACAAGATAATGATCTTTGCAATGCTATGACAAAAGAGATTACTTATTGATAATCTCTCCAAAGCAAGACGCGGAACTCATCACCGCGCTCTAAGACCAAAACGCGGAGGTCCTCTCCGTGTATCAACACCAAAACGCGGAGGTCCTCCCCGTGTGTCAACAGTAAAACGCTGGAGTCGGACCCACGTCACAACATCAAAACGCGAGGGTCGAACCCACGTTACAACATCAAAATGCTGGAGTCGGACCCATGTTACAACATCAAAACGCTGAAGTCGGACCCGCATTATAACATCAAAACGCTGGAGTCAGACCCGCGTTACAACATTAAAACGTTGGGGTCGGACCCGCGTTTTTCGATGCCCAGCGAGTACCCAACTCCGCGTCTCCATTCTAAAAAGCGGAGTTAGGGTCCTGAACGCCGACGTGGGCGTTTGACTCGTTCAAACATGAGCTGAACGGTTCCAAAACCGGTTCCCATGATTTGTGGGCGATTACATCCCACTTAGGAGTGATTTAAGGGGTGGTTACACCCCCTTAATCCCCTATAAAAGTGAGTAAACTCAACTGAGTTCGGTTGGAATTTCTTGGCTCAGATCAACCACTGAAGGCTGGCATTTTCAGATCTGAGACTGGGCAGCGAGGAGGGAATTTCTTGGCAGCAGGAAGAGGAGATCTTTTGGCTTGGCATCAAGGGGGAGATCGACGTTCATCCTCAGCAACGATCGACCACCGGAGATTTCTTCTAGCCTTGGCTTATTAACCGATCTTCGGTTCAAATCAACTCTTTCACAGAGTTATCAACTCATCAAGAGTTTCAAACTTGCCACGCAAGTTCTTCACAACGTCGAATCGTGAGGAGAAGACATCGTTCCAGTGAATCAAGATATTCGGATCGTCAACGGAGAGCAAACTCGACGCGATCATTTGAGGGAGGCACTCCATCGCCACCGTGAAGAACCCAGTTTTAAACAAAGGGGAGAACCAAATTCGTTCTCTTCTCTTTTGTAATCGAATTGTAATCGGAATCAAAGGAATACAAGTTAATTTTCTTTGTTCTCTTCTGAACCATTCAAAGGTAACTCCCTTGAGGGTGCTAATGAACAATCGAGCTAGTATGGTGTCGTTTGATATCACATTCCTAGTTTGTGACTTGAAATAATAGATATGTTGATTCGGTGATCCCGTGCCGTCAAAAGTTTGTAATGTCGGGACCTCAAACTTTGGAGGATAAGAGGCTGCATTCCATTCGGCAGGATAGGGCCTAGCAACTCCCTCATCTTGGAGCTCACTTTTGTTAGCAATGGAATTGAGACGGGCTTCCAATTCTTCCATTTTAGCAGTCTGGAGATTCTGCTTATTCTCAATCTCTCTTCCTTCATCAGAGGAAGATTCCAGGTTGTGTGCTTCTTGGTCAGAAGCAACACCATTAATCATTTTTTCCTTCCCTTTGCTTATGTGAGGTCGGGATGAAGACGTTCTTCCTCTTCGGGAAGATTCTTGCCTTGACGGCGAATTTGTCTTCTGAAATTTGACCCTGTCTACGACATATTGAGTCATCAGGATACGAAGTTCATTGATGGCCTCCTGCTGTGCTTTGATCATGGCTTGCTGCTCATCAAGTCTCTTCACGAGATCTTCATGGTTTCCCATCATATAGGCGGAGCTCTCATGTTCTACGAAAGAGCTAGAAGATTGAGATTCTGTGATAGCTGAATGCTCACCATCGGATGTAGTTCCTCTAGCCAGTCTTCGATAATCGACATGAGGTATGACTCCCCTTCGAGTTCGGGTTTGTTGGTAGATTCCCTCGAACTCATTCAGAATCTCTTTGAAGTTTAGAGACCGGTTCGTCTCTGACTCATCAGGACTAAGGATTGATAATTTCCCTCTACCGATCATGTTGGAAGTAACTCCGAGGTATTCATCCCCTGAAGTCTTCTTCATGTGCGAACGTCGTCGTTTGTCGGGCAAAGCAACGTTCATTAATTGATCGAACCCTAACATTTTGACCGCATGTGGGCAACATTGACATCCCGAGAGGACCGCAGAAATTCATATTGGCATGAACGAACGACTCGTTGCATCGGTATTTCTCTTAATATGAACTCTCTCAAATCTGTTGCAAAGACTCGAGAAGAATTAATCACTGATCATTTATTCTAGTTAATTATGGTGCACATCTTTATTTTGAAGGCTTTCTTTGGCTTAATAACCAAGTTGTACATGTGCATGAGTTATTATTATTGTCAAAGAGAATACACTTCTCATCTCATCCATACATTTTCTCACTTTAACACGTTCTCCTCCAACTTATCGTCTCATATGCAGTGATGAGATTATGGATTGTTGACGGAGCACTCTGGGGCACCTTGTTCCTGACAGTAGTCCCTGACCATGTAGTTCTCCCTCACCCACCTGAGCTTTTTGGCCTGAGCCTCGTCCAGAGTCCAATCCCACCACTGTCCCCTACTCTCAGAGCACTGGGACCCGTCACTACAGGCGTCGGTGCGGTAACCGCAAAAGTATGCCACGAACGGCGCCTGGCTCCAGTCGATCTTGACTCGGCCCCTCCTTGTAGCCCATTCCTCTCCGTTCCATAAGGCAGCGCGCACGCGTAACCTTTGGCTGCTCAGGTATGGGATTCCCTGTTGTTGTGCATTTCTGTACACTCTCACGGGTATTCCATCGACTAACCATCTGGAAAGCACGGTATATGCACGTTTAATCAAGTTACAGAGTATATACAGATCAAGAAACGATCATTATTAATAGTGAGCGGGTGAACGGGGACTCAACATTATGTTGTGGGGATTCCAGACGAAAGTGTAGTTGTGGAAGTCAGCCGTGGGATCAAACCACAGGTTCATCTGCTGCTCCCTGTTGCCTTGCCCGCTAGTCCACAGGTTGGTGTGCAGTAGGTAGGGTTGCCCAGTTACATTCCCTAACAGCTCGAAGTCTATCTCATCATTGCTCGGTCGTGGAGATTGAAGCTACAACGACGACAATTAGATACACATATATAACTAAGCATTTGCTGATGAAAAAAAGCTATGGATTACTAATGAATGTCATAACCAGACGTACAAAGTAGGACGTGACGGTGCCAGCAGAGTAGCCAGGGACGGCCTTGATCTGCATGTCGAACCTTCCGTAAAGATACTCCTGCTTCGATATGGCTTCAGAGCCACCAGCGGCCTTGATCTGCATGTCGAACCTTCCGTAAAGATACTCCTGCTTCGATATGGCTTCAGAGCCACCAGCAGAGTCGAGGCTGAGCTGCAGCTGGTTCCCATCTTCCTGCACGTTAGCGTTCCCAGACACATCAACGTCGTTCGTGAAGCTCTGAGCAGAGATCCCTGAAACGAGAAAGACAGTGAGGAAGAAAGCTCGGAGCAGGTTGTGACTAGCCATCTTGGTTAAATTCAGATGTTACTCCGAGTACCAGTGGTGCGTGCTTAAAAGAGAACTTGATGGGGGGTTTATATAGAGAGAATTAGAGGAACTTCATGAATACACTCAAGGCTGATTACGTCTGACTTCAGATTCTCATTTTCATCTCCTCCTTGGCTAGCTCTGCAGACATGGCTGATTTAGCTATGAAGTGTTTTTCCAAGGAGACATCACGCTTCGTTGGCCTCCTCCTAATTAATTTGTTCATTTGTAAAACAGAATTTATACGGGTCCCATTACCTAGTTTAATAACTATATGACCTACATGAAATCACTATCTATAAACTTACCGAGAAATCGTAGATGAACTGAGGTTACACAAGCCTCTAAGTGTGAATACATCAGTTTTCAGCGGTGGAGAGTGTAACATACGTACTTATATTTTGTTTCTAATGTAGAGAGAAATGAGGGGAAAGGACAATACAAGTTTCCTAAAACCACCACCGTTCAACTCCGTATGATCTCACCAATGCATGTCCATACATAGAAATTAATTGACGAGTCACTAATTTCTACAATACAAAAGTCATCTCTGCAACCTCTTCGAAAATGAAGTGACTTACCCCAATTTTTTTCCTCATTAGGAACAAAATATAGTTGTGTTTTCAATCCCTCACCGCTGAACTGAGAACTAAGTGCATGTATACAGACATGCTGCAAAAATGTCTGGGGACCGACAATGGAGATACCGATGAACATATTAAGAGAGTGAAAGAAACCTCCCCTTGATTATTTTTGACGTTGCTCTAATCGATCTCTCTATAAAAACCTCCATCCGCTACTCTTTTAAGCACACATCGTTTCTTAGAGTTTCATCTCAGTTTAACCAAGATGACTACTCACTTTCTCCTCCTCCGAGCTTTCTTCCTAACTGTCTTTCTCGTTTCAGGGATCTCTGCTCAGAGCTTCACGAACGACGTTGATGTGTCTGGGAACGCTAACGTGCAGGAAGATGGGAACCAGCTGCAGCTCAGCCTCGACTCTGCTGGTGGCTCTGAAGCCATATCGAAGCAGGAGTATCTTTACGGAAGGTTCGACATGCAGATCAAGGCCGCTGGTGGCTCTGAAGCCATATCGAAGCAGGAGTATCTTTACGGAAGGTTCGACATGCAGATCAAGGCCATCCCTGGCTACTCTGCTGGCACCGTCACGTCCTACTTTGTACGTCTGGTTATGACATTCATTAGTAATTCATACCTTTTTTTTCATCAGCAAATGCTTAGTTATATATGTGTATCTAATTGTCGTCGTTGTAGCTTCAATCTCCACGACCGAGCAATGATGAGATAGACTTCGAGCTGTTAGGGAATGTAACTGGGCAACCCTACCTGCTGCACACCAACCTGTGGACTAGCGGGCAAGGCAACAGGGAGCAGCAGATGAACCTGTGGTTTGATCCCACGGCTGACTTCCACAACTACACTTTTGTCTGGAATCCCCACAACATAATGTTGAGTCCCCGTTCACCCGCTCACTATTAATAATGATCGTTTCTTGATCTGTATATACTCTGTAACTTGATTAAACGTGCATATACCGTGCTTTCCAGATGGTTAGTCGATGGAATACCCGTGAGAGTGTACAGAAATGCACAACAACAGGGAATCCCATACCTGAGCAGCCAAAGGTTACGCGTGCGCGCTGCCTTATGGAACGGAGAGGAATGGGCTACAAGGAGGGGCCGAGTCAAGATCGACTGGAGCCAGGCGCCGTTCGTGGCATACTTTTGCGGTTACCGCACCGACGCCTGTAGTGACGGGTCCCAGTGCTCTGAGAGTAGGGGACAGTGGTGGGATTGGACTCTGGACGAGGCTCAGGCCGAAAAGCTCAGGTGGGTGAGGGAGAACTACATGGTCAGGGACTACTGTCAGGAACAAGGTGCCCCAGAGTGCTCCGTCAACAATCCGTAATAATAATTTCAACATATGTGTAAGACGGAGAGCAAGTTACGCGAGAGGGCAAAAAATATGCATGAACTTGATGAGAAGCGTGTTTTCTCTTTGACAGCAACAATAACTCATGCACATGTAACTTGTTTGTTATGCTAAAGGACAGCTATAACTTAAGTAAATATCCAGTTTGCATCACTAGAAGATCATCAAGTTACATTTGGGCAAGGATTGTCTAAGTTGCAAGAACATGCATCACAGTCAAACTAACTTGCCCAACGTCCTCGAAACAAATAAACAGGCATCGACGCGTGATTTTTTACTTCATCAGGCGCCTGAGAAGTGCTTGAGGTAGGCATCCGCAAGCTTCTGACCCAAACGGACCTGAGCCTGAGTGGAGAGGTGGATGTTATCTTCGTTGAGCGGCGCACCCCTTGCGCGGGGTCGGACGCCACACCCACATTAATCGGCAGGTCTACTCCCAGCTGAGCCGCCTTTACCCTTCTCTATCAAGCGGCTCATTCCCCTGATGCGATAGCAACCTAACATAACAGTAACGAGTCTCCAACATTAAATAATCCTCCACAAAAAAAAAAAAGAAAAAAATTTTAAGCAACGCCTGAGCTGAGCGTCATCAATTACCTTAATGCAAAGGCCAGGAAGGCCAACAACTTGAGCGGTCAGCCATCCACGTCTCCGTCAGTCCTCTCCATTTTACCCCGTTAGCCCTCCGCCAGCTTTCTCGACAGGGTGTCGCTCTCCCTTGAACCACAGCACCCTTATCTTCCCCCCTCCTCCCCTCGCGCCACGCGCCGGCCCGCCTCGTTCGCCCTCGCACCATCTCTCGGTAGAGCCGCGACCCCCTGGCCGCCCACTCGTCTATCGCCGCGTACCCCGACGAGCGCAGGGCGACGAGCCCACGCGGCCGACGCCTTCCTCCCCCCGGCTCCCCCCGACGGCGCACCAGCCCCCCCCGTCCATGAGCGCCGTGCGCGCACCGGCACCACTGCCCGGCGGCCCCCACGCCCGCAGCCCCTCTGGCAGGTGGTCTCGTCCCCGGCGCTGGAGTCCGGCACCTCCCGCCGCCCCACCCCGGCCTCCCCCCGCGCGCGCCGGCGCACCTGCAGCACGCCGCCCTGAGGATGACGGGCGTGGGGCAGGCCTATGGGGCGGGACGACGCTGGTCCCGAACGCGTCGGCCTCACGCCCCTGCCGCGGCGACGCCGGACATGTTGCTTTGGCCGGAGAGGATGAATATCTGCCTCTTCTCCTTCTTCTTCGCCCCGATCGCCTCCATTAATTAATTGTTGTTCGATTCTTTCTCTCTTTTCCCTTTCCCTTTTAAACTGCGATGATTCGTGCGGGTTTGTTGCGGAGAAGTTTCGGATCTGATCGGGGGGCGTGATGACAACGCGTGGCCCGCACGTTAGGTTCGGAGGAAAGCAGCTGCTCACCTGCACTGGCCTAATCGGGGGGATGATAATGATGTGGGGCCCAACACGTTAGGTTTAGTGAAGGGAATCTGTGACGCCTCGCTCCTCCGACGACGTGATGGCCGTCACCGGCGAACTTTCCATGATCCGCATGACCAAGTCAAACCTTCTTGAGTTTTGTTATGGCTCCTAATTAACCCCTTTTTACTTCCTGCAGTATAGTATGCATGTATATGTTATTATATCGGGAGCCGATGTTGTCGTTTTCCTTGCATTATTTATTTCGTTGAGGTTTTTGGTGTTTTTTTTCCGACTCACAACCGTAAAAATTGTAAGTTATGATACATTTTTTTTATCTCGACGTAATTTTGTGTCGCACAAATAGAGCGCGACACATACCTAAAGTGTGGTTAAAACATATGTGGAGAGCATCTTTCTGCACATGTGAGAATGTGTCATAAAACTCACGACGCATACATATATATCGAGATTGCTGACAAATGCAAGCGTCATAAAACTCATGACACATATGTGTCGAGAGCGGTGACACATAGTTGTAACTAGACCATAAAACTATAAAGAGTATCATCATTCTGTTGGATTTAATCTAATAAATCTATTTGTGGGCACATATGATTAATCAATGTGTATTGCTATCTTTCAGGATAACCCACTAAAGTGATCAATTAAGTTGGGTTAATTTGGTATTTAAATAAGTCATGGGGTTATATGTGCAGATACCAGGTTGTAATTGTAATTTATTGAGGGGCTGAATTACAAAAGTACAACATCTATAAATAAGGGGTTATGGTCCCTAACCTAGGGTAACATTCTCTAATTCTCTACACCCCCATCTAGCTAGAGAAATTCGGTTTTAGAGAGAACCCTAAGGTTAGAAGATCCAACACCCAAAATCAAGATCAAGCAATGGATTCAGGTATAAGCTTCCGCTATTTTAGATCATTGTTAATCTCTTTGAATTAATCATGGCTATATGGTTTTAGATCTCAAGTTTATGATGTAGATCTAACAAGTGGTATCAGAGCCACCTTGATTAATTCTTAGGGATTTAAGTTTTATTGGGTTTTTGATCTTAAATCTCTGGTTAAAGATTCAATTTTTGGGTTCGGATGAACAGTAATGTTCTCGGATGAACAGTAATGTTCTCGGATGAACAGTAATGTTCGGTGAACAGTAACGAAATTTTTTTTCGGATGAACAGTGAAGTATTTTTTTCGGATGAACAGTAACTGAAAAATCGCCGGTGAACAGTAACTTTTGGGAATTTTTTGGATTTTTCTTTGATTTTTCCTTCAATTTTTTCCAATTCTGGATCTGTTTTGAAAATAAAAATCAAAGGTTTTTGGGTTTGTCGGGCGGCGGTTTCAATTTGAAACCCTAAGGGTTCATGGCGAAAATTAAGGAGGTGGTTACCCAAACGAACCTCGCGTTCGTTCAATTTTAACCGAGCTTCGCGCTCAACGAACCTCGCGTTCGTTCTAAGGTGAACCTCGCGTTCAACTCAGGTGAGCGTCAAGCTCAATTTCAACGAACCTCGCGTTCGTTCTAAAGTGAACCTCGCGTTCAACTCAGGTGAGCGTCAAGCTCAAATTTTTAACGAACCTCGCGTTCGTTCTTCAGACGAACCTCGCGTTCGTACTTCAGACGAACCTCGCGTTCGTACTTCAGTCGAGCCTCGCGTTCGAGCTTCAGACGAACCTCGCGTTCGTGCTTCAGTCGAGCCTCGCGTTCGAACTTCAGACGAACCTCGCGTTCGTACTTCAGACGAACCTCGCGTTCGTACTTCAGTTGAACCTCGCGTTCATTTTTAAACGAACCCTCGCGTTCGTACTTCAGACGAACCTCGCGTTCGTACTTCAGACGAACCTCGCGTTCGTACTTCAGACGAACCTCGCGTTCGTACTTCAGACGAACCTCGCGTTCGTACTTCAGACGAACCTCGCGTTCGTACTTCAGACGAACCTCGCGTTCGTACTTCAGACGAACCTCGCGTTCGTACTTCAGACGAACCTCGCGTTCGTACTTCAGACGAACCTCGCGTTCGTACTTCAGACGAACCTCGCGTTCGTACTTCAGACGAACCTCGCGTTCGTACTTCAGACGAACCTCGCGTTCGTACTTCAGACGAACCTCGCGTTCGTACTTCAGACGAACCTCGCGTTCGTACTTCAGACGAACCTCGCGTTCGTACTTCAGACGAACCTCGCGTTCGTACTTCAGACGAACCTCGCGTTCGTACTTCAGACGAACCTCGCGTTCGTACTTCAGACGAACCTCGCGTTCGTACTTCAGACGAACCTCGCGTTCGTACTTCAGACGAACCTCGCGTTCGTACTTCAGACGAACCTCGCGTTCGTACTTCAGACGAACCTCGCGTTCGTACTTCAGACGAACCTCGCGTTCGTACTTCAGACGAACCTCGCGTTCGTACTTCAGACGAACCTCGCGTTCGTACTTCAGACGAACCTCGCGTTCGTACTTCAGACGAACCTCGCGTTCGTACTTCAGACGAACCTCGCGTTCGTACTTCAGACGAACCTCGCGTTCGTACTTCAGACGAACCTCGCGTTCGTACTTCAGACGAACCTCGCGTTCGTACTTCAGACGAACCTCGCGTTCGTACTTCAGACGAACCTCGCGTTCGTACTTCAGACGAACCTCGCGTTCGTACTTCAGACGAACCTCGCGTTCGTACTTCAGACGAACCTCGCGTTCGTACTTCAGACGAACCTCGCGTTCGTACTTCAGACGAACCTCGCGTTCGTACTTCAGACGAACCTCGCGTTCGTACTTCAGACGAACCTCGCGTTCGTACTTCAGACGAACCTCGCGTTCGTACTTCAGACGAACCTCGCGTTCGTACTTCAGACGAACCTCGCGTTCGTACTTCAGACGAACCTCGCGTTCGTACTTCAGACGAACCTCGCGTTCGTACTTCAGACGAACCTCGCGTTCGTACTTCAGACGAACCTCGCGTTCGTACTTCAGACGAACCTCGCGTTCGTACTTCAGACGAACCTCGCGTTCGTACTTCAGACGAACCTCGCGTTCGTACTTCAGACGAACCTCGCGTTCGTACTTCAGACGAACCTCGCGTTCGTACTTCAGACGAACCTCGCGTTCGTACTTCAGACGAACCTCGCGTTCGTACTTCAGACGAACCTCGCGTTCGTACTTCAGACGAACCTCGCGTTCGTACTTCAGACGAACCTCGCGTTCGTACTTCAGACGAACCTCGCGTTCGTACTTCAGACGAACCATGGGAACAGCACCGTCTGACACTTGGAAAGACTTGAAGGTGTGCGGTGAACAAGCCGAACGCTTCCTCCGAAGGAAGAAGGCCGAGAGGAACCTACCGACGGCTAATCCTCTGGACTCAAATTTCGCCTCTCGTGGTAAGGGCAAAACACCTGCAGCTACTGGTGGTGCTAATCAAACATCGCAACAGCAGCCCCGGAGACAGCAGAAGACCTCAGATCGGAAACTCCAAAAAGAGTATTCCTTCAAAGACAAAGATGTTCCATCCATCTTCGAATCACTCCTTAAAAATAACAAGATCAAGCTGCCACCGATCACGAATCAGGAGGAAGCTGACAATACTACGGATCCGAAGTACTGCGCATACCACAGGAGGATCCTTCATCCCACCAAGGCCTGCTTTACTTTAAAGAATAGTATCCAGACCTTGGTTGAAGTCGGCGTCATAACGCTAGAGTAAGCCAGTTGAGAACGGCACCA